ATACCCTCGTCTCAAAATTCAAATTTACATAACGGATAAGAAACAGATAACCACTTAACAACAAGTTCATGCACTTGACACTCACCAATCGAAATAAGGGAGTAAGTGCGTAAACGAGCCTTTAGGTGTTCCCCTCGAGATCCTCTTGAAGGTCTCCTTGAGCACCTGAGTAAATAGTAATTGTCTATTACACACTATCGCTTAAAACCCCTAATTATCGAGGAAGATTGCACACTTGTACATCTAAGAAAATTTTATGAAAATGAGCCTTGATTACTCGTAAATCGAGACTAAAAATGGGGTTTTAAAACACAAGAGAAATCTGATTTTCATCTTTGAAATCAAGTGTAAAACGGTTTAGCAATATCGAAGGAAAATAGAGAGTTCGCAACTCTCAATTTCCTTTAAGTTCGGAAATTTCAGATTTGTCACCCATACTTTGGAAAATCGTATCTCATTCTCTACAAGTCCAAAATTGGAAAAATTTATACCGTTGGAAACCTCTTGGAAAGTACTAAAAGTTCTTAGAAGACACTTTTCCATGAATCTAAGTGGAAAGTACTCAAAAATGAGCTTGAAATCACTGTTCCAGAATGTTCAGGATTGAGCTGGGGTTGGTTTTTCGCTAACTTTGGAAATTTGGCAGAATTCACTCGTTACAAACTAGCCCTTGAAATTTATAACTCAATTAGAGGTGCAAGTAAGGTTTAGGGCAGAACAAGCAGATTGAGAATTGGAGTTTCGAGCACTGAGATACGGTAGCTCGAAGTTGGGAAAATTCAAGTCTGGTGAACAATTTCCAGATTGAGTTTCCAAAAATTGGAACCTTAGCTAAGTGTCAAAACGAACTTGGATTGGTATAAATTTTGCAGTATGTTACTCCTATATGAAAGGTACCGTTCTATCAAATTTCAGGGAAAAATACCTTCGGAAAGGTAGTTAATTAATCATCCAAAGTTCAGGAAAATTTCTAAAGCAACCTGTCTTTTGACTTCATTTCCCAATTTAAATCGTTTAATCAAGAAAGCTATCCAACCATGGTTCATTTGTGAAATAAAGGTCTAAGATACATCCATGATACCTTTGGTAAGTGTTTAGCATCAAGAACTTCAATTAATAAGATCACTCCCAGGTTTTGTCCCAAACCAGTCCAAGTATTTCGGTTTTTCCAAAACAGGGCAGTCCTCTTGTTTTGGTCACAACTCAGTCAATTTAACTCAGAATGGGGCATGGTTTATGTCATTGAAAAATACATTCATAGGGCTATAATATCACAGAAGAAATCATTTCAAAATTTGGCACCCAACTAGTTCAAAATCGGGCATCAATTTGCTGCCTTATCACTTCATTCCAGTTGAACAGAGCAACAGGACAGCGATCTTAAAACGTTTGGTTCGGCTCACTCACAAAGAATCAGAACGTGTATTTTATCTCAAATTAACGTCTGGAATGTCTAGTTTCCAACGCCACAACGACACATGATTTCGACATCCGAGGACGGAGTTATGGCCGAAACACCACGCTGGTCAGAGCCATACGTGAACAGTTTCTAGATTTGCTAGTTTCACAAAAAAAATTCATCTGCCCAACCAAATCTCATTATTTTTCAATGAAAATTTTCACACATCTAATACGTCATATAAACATCAGATTCAACCCATTAGATCATTAAAAATTGGCCTTAAAATGGCCGAACAAGGCAGGAGCAAAATCGGAAACTTTTGCTTCTTGCACCCAATGAAATTTCTATCAATTACACACCATTAATCCATCATTTTAACCACTAAACCAACAATATATCCACCATCAATCATCAAATTAGCAACAACCCAAGAGTGGGAGTTCATAGAGCCCACCATCAAAATTTTCCAACAATACAAGCTACCCATGTGAAGATTCAAGCTCATATGTGTAATTTAACCTCCATAGGACAAGTTTAGAGTGTTGGATCATTACCTACTTTGGTGGTTGTTCAAGTCAGAATTTTCGGCCCTTTGAAGCCTGAAGAAAACCGGGGAAATGAAGCTCTTCTCCTTGCCTAAGTGAATCTCCAAGTGGTTAAGTTGGATGCAAATTTTGAGATGAAATGGAGAAAGATTGGTGCAAGAATGAAGAAGCTTTTCTTCCTTTCTTTCCTTCCCTGTTTGGTCGGCTGTTTTGGTGTGAAAATGGGAGTTCTAGCCGCGCACTTAAGGTGAGAAAAGAAGGGTTTTGATTTGGTGTGATGGGTCCACTAAAAGCTTAAGAATGTGTGGACAAAATTGCTCCAAAAGTCAACTATGGATAGTGCGCGAACGCGCGCGTTTCCTCTCGGATTTGTTTCACTTGTGCACTAAATCTCTAATGCACTTCCATTCATACTATTATTATTCACTTTTAATAGTCTAAAATAACGGTCTTAAGTCCCTTAATTGATCGCACGCGTAAAACGCGTATTTCCAATTTTGCGCGATAACGCTTAACTTTCAAAAAATTCTTATAACGATTGTATTACTAACTAATACTTGAGCATTTAAACATAAAAATACCTAATTTGAGACTAATGTACATGTCTCTAATTTTTCCAAATTTATTGTATCCTCGATTCAATATTTATTCCAATCGCATATTTACTATTTTTACTTAACGAGTCTTCAGAAATTAAATTTTGAAACAAGTCACTTTAAAAATATAACTAAGCCATAGATCCTTTTAATTAGGTCTAAAAAGGTTAGAAAATAATATTTGGGGCAATTGGCCAAATAAATAATTAAATGAGCTAGAATTTGGAGTTTAAAATAGGTAAATTTTTGTGAGTCTTTACATGAGTCGAGTATAATTCCTTAATGAACTTTTCTTAATCTACCATTGATCATTGTTAACTCTCTAATATCAATACACTCTCGATTTAAATATAGTCTCGAAAAACATGCACTCGTTGTTCCAAACTAAACGAGTTTTCGAAAAGTGAATTTTTCTAACAAAACGCTTTAAAAAATATAAATGAGGCGTCGTTCCATATAAATGGATTTTAAATGATCGAAATAAATAATTTGGAGAAAAATGAGTAAATAAATATTTAAACAAACTACCAATATTCGATAAAATAAAAAAAAATTTCGAGTCCTCACACATTGCCTAAGCTAATTTTTTTTGTCAAACCAAAAAAGTGGTAACTAAGTGTGATTTATTGGGTAACCAAAAGAAGAGATCAAATTTCTATTAATAATTGCAAAGAATTGGAAATTAAATGTGATTTGATTGGCAACAAAAAAAGAGGCTAAATTTTGCTAATAACTACATAGAATTGGTAATTAAATGTGATTTGTTGGGTAACCAAAAAAAATTAATAATTATAAAAAACTTGTAATTAAATGTGATTTGTCAGGCAATAAAACTACAAAATTATTACTTAATTAATTAAAAATTAATTGCAAAAAATTGATAATTAAACTTGATTTGTTGGGCAACCCAAAATAAAAGAGGACCTTTTTTATAAAATTTGAAAAAAATGGTAATAAAATGTGATTTTTTGGACAACCACAACAAAGAAGCCAATTTTTTTGTTAATAATTGCAAAAAAGTTATTAATTAAATGTGATTTGTTGGGTAACCAAAAAATGACATTATTAATTAGTTATTAGCATTAATTGTAAACAATTGGTAATTAAATGTGATTTATTGGGTAACCAAAAAATGGAACCCAAATAAAAATAAATAAATAAATAATTATAACAATTAATAGTGGGGAATCGATAATTAAACACGGTGTGTGGTGGCACTAATGGAAGGGCACCACATTGTTGATTGTTTACGTAGAATTAATACTAAATAAAGATTGTCGTGAAAATTTGATAATAATAGTTGAATGTCTTCCCCTCTCATTCCAAAAAACCAAAAATAAAGCTAGGTTATTGTTGGAAAAAAAATCAAATAAAGAGTAAATTTTTCACAATTGGAGCATAACAAAAGCATAACATAAGCAATTATTACAATAAAAAATAATAATTAATAATTGTCATTTATTTGGCAACCAAAAGAAAGCGTTGATAATTGTAAATAATTAGGATACCAATTTTTTGTTAACACAATTTATTGTTGGGAAAGGGGAAAAAAGGCCAAATTTTATCACAATCCCACATGTAATATGTTAACAACCACCTCCAATCCAATAAAAAATGGCCACATCATCAATTTTATGTGTAATTGGAAGAACTATCACCAATTGACGAATCACAATCGGACACCTCGTCAAATTGCAAGATTACCACATTTTGACCAATGGTAGCACGCCACATCAGCAACTGAAACTCAATGGCAAGCCCCTCCATTCCCCGGTGTTAATGAACCAAAACAATCATTTTTAACAATGGACATGCGACACTCGGCTAACTCCCCTAGAAATTTTTAAAAGTCCTAGATTTTTTTTGTGATAGCCGCGATAGATAAGATGCTAAATTAGGTGGTGTTTGATAATAGAGTTTCGAAATGAAAAATTGAAATAAATTTCATAATTATTATTTGAATTACTTTATTGAAATTGAAATTTTAGAATCATATCTAAAAATTTGAAATTCCTCAATTCCCAAGTAACCTGAAAGGTTTTGGACAAAACATAACTTTGATTCCTTTTTAGAAATAGGGCCCGTCCCGCCACCCGTTAAAATAATTAACATATAATATATATTATAATTATAATAATATTTTATTATAATATTATATAATTATATTCATATTTATTATTATAAATTATAATTATAATTAGTTACAAACTTATAATAATATTATTATTAATTGTTTGTATTATATAATATATATTAATATTAGTAATATTATTAATTGTATTAATAATTACACATGTAATATAATTATACATATTTATTAATAAAAATTATTAATTAGTTATATTAAATTATTAATACATTTAATTAGTAAAAATTTCTTATATCCCATTTCAAATGAGACAAAGAACCAAACATGTAATGATATATTAATATTGAACCGAACAGATATATTAGAATGATTGACTCCATTTCAAATCCAGAATATCCGAATCCGGTACTAAGGTACGAACCAAACGCCATCTTTAGTCACAACCAAAAACAGATTCGAATGCGCTACGCAAATTGGGGAACAGAGGTCTGGAGCTTTCAGCTTTCGAGTCAGGGAAAGTAGACGGAAACTGATCAAAATCTCTCATCCTCTAGCCTCTGAGGTAAGCTCCTCCAATTATCTACTCCAACCAATTCTAAACTATCTGTGATCAGTTCGTTCTAGGTATGTATTTCCGTATTTTTTCTTCAAATTTCAGTTATCTCAGTTATTCCAATTTATTGAAATGAAAACCAAGAGGATTATCATTGAAACTGTATAATTCCTGATGGGTCTTGTATATTACGTGAAAATTTATAGTGGGCATCAATTCTTATTCTCATATATATTTGGTTTTTTCAGTTCTGGCCTAGGAATTAATGGAATGACTTTCTTTTCTTTTTCTATCTTTTTGAAGTCAACATAAGTTAGTAAAGAAAAAATTTATGATGGGTCTTGTGAATTTATAGATGAATGTGTTTAGTGGGCATCAATTCTTGTACTCATAGTTATCTGATTATTGTAGTTTTGTACTAGGAAGAAATTCAAGAAAAAGTTTTACGTTTTTTATTTACTTATTGGCATTATAATTCTTATAAGATTCCTAGTAACACATGAATAAATACATGCTGCTGGTTTTTGTGCTTGGAAAATGGATTATTTGATCATCAGTAGTGACATGAATGTTATTAAGTGGGTTTTGATTGATAGGCTATGGTAATATATTATACTCTTTACTTAACCTTGTCCCTGTCTTTTTTTTGGTCTTTGCAGAATTATTTACATTAGTTTTTCTAAAATATAAATAAACCATGTCAAAACTCATACTAGAAACTAAGATGTTTAAATCTAAATGTTAAAAGAATTGTTGAAATACTTCAGATTTATAGCTGCAAATTTAACATGCTTAACTGAATTCTGGAAAAGGTGGCAACAGCTCGGACGGTGAATTACTTGAGATTGTTTAGAATCAGTAGTGAAATTGAGATCTAGTGTTGTTAATGTACTTGTAACGCGTGCTCATGGTTTTGATTCCTGCAGACTAGAGGTTGAGTAACCATGGCTTTTCTCCCCATCCAAATAGTTGTATTAATGCAGCTCTTGATGATTTTAGTTGCATCCTTATGTCTTATGAAAATTAATGGTGTGGATCTTGGAGAAGAATTAACGGGAGGAGTACACGGAGGAGGCTCAGGTCAAGAACAAAGAGAGTTTGATTACTTCAAGCTGGCTCTTCAATGGCCAGGCACCATTTGTCAAGGAAATCACCGGTGTTGTGCCTCCAATGGTTGTTGCCAAGGGTATATTTTAGCTTTTTGAAACCTACATGATGGGCTTTTTGAGTTTTAAATGCATAAGATTTATGGGCTAGCTTAACTTCATAGTTCTCAATGGGTTTGCTTGGTTCTTTGCAGCTCGAATTCGCTATCTGAATTTACAATACGTAAGTACAATTCCATGTATATATCTTTTGAAGTATTGATTGTAGTATGGTTTATTTTTTCCTCTTATGGGTTCCGCATCATGTTCTCTCTAACTTCTTTTTGGTTAAATCATTGAATCTTTTTTTGGGACTAAGTTTTGAACTTTGATTATGCAGGAAACATAGTTAGATACAAATATGCCTATTGACACTTTTGGCATAATTTGATATCTTCTGATTTTCTTGCCAACAAAAGGCATTTCTTCTACCTTTTCATTTTGGAAGTGGAAAGGAGAGAGGTCAGTTTGGAAGTGGGAAAAAGAGGGGAGGGGAGCTAGATGGAACATTTTCTACTCAATTTTGATGGTTTGGCCCTCATGAATCAGAAAGAGGGAATAGTATGCATTTTTGTGGGAAGAAGAGTTTTTAAAGATGGCGGACCATACATTTAGTTCTTCTTGCCTTTTCTCTTTCAGTCTCATTTTTAGGGGCAAATCCTTAGTGAATTAGGAATTATACGCAGCTGCATAATGGTGACACTAATTTGGGAGGGTGGATAAAATGGTAATGAAAAGTAAACAGCATTTAATGGAAAAGTTATGTAGCCAGGAATAGTAAACAAAAAAAATTGGGAAATGGATTGTCAATTTTAATATGGTTGAGCTTTAGCGGTTTAAATGCTGCGAGAACTCATTTTTTCAGTTGCTTCATTGTTGAATCTGGTTACGAAAGGAATTATTGCTGGTAAGTTGGCAAGAATATAAGAGGTTATTAAATAGTAGTGATGTATGAAAATCTGACTAAATTGGAATTAAGGGCTCATACAAGGATGAGGCAAAATCTCATCTCTCTTGTCAACTTTAATCAACTTTTTCCTTGTTTGGAATGAATCACCTACAGAGTTTACTTGCCAATCTTGTCTGCTTACCAGAATCTCTTATCCTATAGATGGACTATGGCCTGATTACAATGATGGATCTTGGCCAGCCTGTTGCAATGGTCCCAGATATGATTCCAAAGAGGTGCTTTGTCTGACCATGCTCTGCTTTGGACATGAACATGCTTTCAATGGAACTTCCATCCAAAATACGTATTTAAAAATCCTGACTAAACTGTGCTTTTCAGTTGGGGTGGATATTGATGACGCATGCTGAGTTACAGATGCAATTTTGTATTCATAAAGTGCAGCTCAGTTCATGTTGATTTTGTAAACTGCTGCAGTTGTTAAAAGCTGTGCATTGCTTTAGCAATTTTTTATTAGAAAGGAGTTATGTTAGGATTTTAATGAAATAGAAAAATAAGAAAGAAACTCTGTGCTTGAGAGGCCAATGACTGCTTTGAATGCACTCTGTTCTCTGTTTGTTTCACTCTGGAAGTGCCTGTAATTGATTTCAACTGTCAAGTTCTTGTTGTAGGATTTGTGGTTCAGATTCTCTTGACACCTGGTGATTCATGCACTACTTGTTTTGCATCTTTGTGCTGGTTTTTATCCTTGAGAAATTTTTGGTGCTTCTGAGGGAAAGGATTGCTGTAAACATTTTCTGTACGCACAAAATATTGATTAATTGTTGGTTATACAGTTAGTCTGAAATTGTCAATGGTATTGTAAAATCAAGAGTTGCATTACAGCATGATCATGCTACTAATTATAGTATCTGGTGTCTGCATAGGAGTACTTTTTAAGGATGAAATTCTTCATATAAACCTTTTCTGCTTGGTATCGTCTAGTTCCCAATAAAGGGAAGGTAATCCAATGGGTTTCGTTAGATTAGCCTGGAATTAGCAAGATGATAATGATCAAGGAGTTTACTTTCCCTAATCATTGGTAACTGTATGTTCCACTGAGTTTGTCTGTATATTCTTGTAATACTGGTGTATATGGGTTCATTCTTTGGCATTTCTCCAAATTAGTGCTCAGCAAGTTCTCTCTCTCTCTCTCTTTTTAGACAGTATCTTTGCAAGTTCTGTTACTTTTGGCAGTATCTCAAAACCATTCTAATTCTTTTGAATTCTTTTGAATTGCATTATTCAACCAGATTTCAACACTGACTGATGTTCTCAAGAAGTATTGGCCATCTTTAAGTTGTAGTAAATCATCAACATGCCATGGAGGGAAAGGAACATTTTGGGCTCATGAGGTGCTCAATTGATTGTAATTTTGTGTACAAGCTTTCTAGTTCCATCACATAGCGCTGACATGTTTTCTTTCTGCTGGTTTTGTGGTTGAATTGGGAGACAACTGCTTACAGTGGGGTAATTATCTTTCACCTGTCGCATTTTTTCTACTTTGTATTATGATGAATTTTAGGGCCCTATATTTTTATAGTTCAAATTAGAAATGGAATTCTGCTGGTAGATAGATGATACCTAAAGAATTTCAAGACCTTCAATTGATTTCTAAGAGTTGTTTAAATTTTATATTTTTGTATCCAAGGAAAGGTATGCAGCTTGAGAACCGAAGGGAACATTTGGAACTTTTGCTTCACTTTTAAAATTGTGGAACCTTTTTCAGATATCCATGACTATGGCACCTCCATCTTCAGCTCTTTCATGCCCCTGGGTCTCTTGCTTTACCTCTTGAGTGTCATACCCAGTTTTCCTTTTTAGTGATACTTAACATTTAAGATTAAGAAAAGACAACAGCACATATCTTGCTATGGTGCAAATTTTAGACTCTGCTGATATTGTTGAAGGAGAGTATTGAGGATTTATGCTTTGTGGTCTTTGATGTTGGGTGTTACACAATATGGCCCCTAATTTGTCTTGATGCAGCAGTCAATGAATTTAATAGATGAAATTTAACTTGAACAGTAATAATAAGAATAAGTTATTAAAATTATATGAATTGCATGTTGTGAAAATGAGGAAATCACTCCTCAGAGAATAATGTTTAACAGCAGTATTAAATGGTCAGTAGTATTTTCAAGAGGATCACCACTAACAATGAACTTGTCATGCCTTTGCTGTGGGGGAAATACTGTATGACCACTAAGTCAAATTGTTCAATGGTGAGGTAGTGTCAAGAGTTACTTTTTATTGGTCATTGCTGTAACTCTTTAGCCTCAAGTGTTGAATTTTTTGCATCCCGGTCATATGAGTAAGGAACTAACCTAGTCAAGCTTGAATAAGGAACTGCTTAAAGGTTTGGGCCACAAAAGGCCCAGAATTCCTTGGGCTGCAAAATTTTGGGTAGTAAAGTTGCCAAGTTGTGTCCATTGCTGGTCATGCTATATAAGAACTGGTTTCCTTCTCTTGTCAACTTTAACTTTCAAAGCATAATTTCGTATTTGACCTCGTACAGGGAGTGGGGGGCGATCGTCACAAACATAGTTCTGCTAAAATGCAGATTCAAATAATTGCTTTGCTGAAATAAATGTTATGGGAGATGACTTTGGGTTACAACACTGCATATCTGAATATAACTTTTGGTTGTGTTCATGCAGAAAAGCATGGGACATGTTGCTCTCCTGTTATTCGTGATGAATACAGCTATTTTTTGACGGCTATTAATGTCTACTCCAAGTATATGTCACAGTAAGATTTTAGTAGTGTACTCAAGTTTTTAATGTTTTAAATTTTTCCTCAACTTTAACCAATTTCCTTTAATCCATCTTAATTGTCCAATTTCTCTGCTTGATGACTGCATATTTGCATACTTGTGTACGTCAAAGCTTTATTGCTGTTGAATGGTTGAAGGTAGATCTGCTTATTTGCGGTGAAATTGCAAATACATTGTTATTGGTGGGCTTCTCCAACTTTTAACTGATGGTTGAGAAATTGGTGCTAAGTTAACCAATAACGATAGAGATTTATACTCAGTTGCTATCCAGCAGTCAACTTCAGTTTTAAACATAATTATCATAATTTGTGGCTGAGTACACATTCAAGAGTACTGGAAGCAGATAGCAAGAATACTTCTTCCCTAATTACTAAGTTGATATTGGATGCTACTATTGTCAAGAAGTGGATTAAAACAATCTTTGGAAAGAATGGCCGTTTTTAATGAACATCGCTTGAATAAGTTAAGCTGGTGGGAAAAGAAGCCCAAGTTAAGTCCTTCAAGTGAAGCAAGGAGCTGGTAGGAAGAGAAACCCAAGTTCAATCTTTTAAGGGAAACAAAGATTGCAGGGAAGAGACAAGTTAGGGTTGCGATTCTGCTATAATGTCCTAAAGGATTTTGTTCTCAGGTTTTGCTCTCTAGGTTAATGGATGATTTGAGCTATGAAGTGTGCTCTAATGGTTTTCCTTTTTTTCATTTGGTTCTTCTTCATTGATATTCCGTATGTATGATCATTCGTGTGTTCAGAAATCTAAGATGTAGTACAGGCTGGAATTGCTTCTGTGGTTTTGAGATAGAAGAAATTTTGATTCATGACAAATTATTTGTACAATTTTCTCTCTAACTTGCCAATCTGAATGCAGAAGCAATTTTCCATAACAACTTTCTGGCTTAGCATGAGGAAGAATAAAAATTTCTTGAATTAGTGACAACCATTATTTATGAACTTGGCCATGTATATATATATATATATATATATATATATATATATGTATGTATATATAATATAGACACACCCCCACACACAATTACTTAAACGCTAGACTAAATGTCTATCCTGTATGAATTTGAATGGTGTTGCTTGTTTGCTTACTCGTTTCTATAACATTTTTGTTGGACATGAGAACAGCAAGTTCTGAATGAAGCTGGATATTTACCATCAAACTCTGAAAAGTATCCTCTAGGGGGCATAATCGCAGCAATTCAAAATGCTTTCCATGCAACACCGGAGCTCCAGTGCAAAGGTGGTGCAGTGGAGGAACTCCGTTTGTGCTTCTTTAAGGATTTCAAGGTCTGTTTTAGCCTTAATTGGTTTTATTAATAGGTTGAATTTTGAACTTGTTACAGTTTTCTGGGAGTGTTCTTTATTGTTTCTGTACCACTGATACACCAACTAGCTGACAGTATCATTGATTTGCATTTTAACATGAGGCTGACCTTAAACGTTACAGTTGATTAGAGTATTTGTCATCTCATCTCTTTACCTCTTGATAGATTCTTAGTTCTCTTTGGGAAATTACTGTTCTTGCAGCCTCGAGATTGCATCAGTGAACCTCACATTAAAAGTTATCTGGTTGCTTCAAGCTCGTGTCCCAAGTACGTCAGCTTGCCTGATGTTCAAGCCTCTTCAAGTGAGTGGAACAAGAATTTATCAAATAACTATGCTACGTTTGTTGCAATTTTGATAATTTGTTTGCTTAACTTGAAAATCTAAGGATATGCTGACACAAGAGTGGCTTTCTGAATAATCATCAACGTGGAACGTTATGCCAGTCGTCTCTCAAAGACACCTGTACCAAATGAAGAGCCAGAGATCATCTGGAGATGATGTTGTATGACAGACTATTAGAAAATTGAACATCAAGAATGGGATATTTGTCCCTTTTGGACCATCATTGTTAACTGCTGCTCGGAATTACAAGATGTTTGGAGCTGTCTAAAGTTGTAGCAGTGTATCTGACATAAACATTTCATCCACTGTAGATCTTCTCTGGTTGTTTATATGTAATCTGTTAGTAGTTTATTTGGTCAAACGATCCTCCTATTATCTCCACCCCAAGATGAACACCTCTATGCTCATCTTACAGGCCTTGAAACAAATGGAGCTGCATCTCCCTGGTGCTTTCTTTTTCCACAGGCAAATGTTGGAAAGGGAAAAAAAAGTTGCACAGGAAAAACACGGAGCACATCATATGCTGTAAATTTTTAGGGATAGGAATCAAAATTGCAACAAATGAGTAAAATAATCAACATTTATAAAAGATGGATAGCCCCGTGTCCGGCTTCTGAAGATTAGTTAGTCATTATTGAAGGACTGACCGTAGAGCAAACACCATGGGATTCTACTGCTTATTGATATTTTTTCTTATTGAAATTATTATTCAAATACATGACCAAATATAAGAAGCAGATCTGGAGTTGTGAACTTCAAGTTTACACAATTTAAGAAGTCCACACCAGAAATTAGCGCATAAAGAGAGACCGGATATCGTAAGGCCCTGTAACGTTGGAAGGCCCTCCCACATCAACCGCGCAGACAAGAAGTTGGCCGCTTCACTTGGATGCTCAGCGTCGAAAAATAGATAATCTTTGGGATAATGACACAGCTCATATTCTTTTACTCCTCTCTTTCCTCCGCAGCTAAAGTTTCCTCGGAAAGGACCGCTACCACAGCATGCACTCTTCACTTCCTTGAAACCTTTTTGAGTAATCAACCAATAACAATGTTACTCTACTACCTTTGCTAATTGATGCTAGTATTATGCTACTATCTTAAAGAAGATCTAGCCTCAATATAGGAGAAAATAATAATATTAGGAGTAGCAATTGGGAGCCAAAGATTTAGGATGCGGCTTGTCTTCATCACACTCTTATCCGGTTTCCACAATACACATGCAAGACACGCGTATTTCTTCGACTCCTCTTCCAATTACTTCTCTCTCCATTTTTCACTCTACACGTCTCGATTTCACCGACAAATGAAAGACGTGTCGTCCATCCAATTGTGTACTATGGTAAATGGAGAGGGGAGTAACTGAAAGTTAAGCCGAATCCTGATTCTCGATTGAGGAGCATGATTTCAATTTTGGGATTGCAGAAATGATTAGTTAAATTTTACAATGATTAAATAATTAAATATCTCCAAAATATGCAATATTTGTTAGGAGTGTACAAGAATGGTAATTAATTATATACTTTAATACATAATCTTCATATTTTAACCACTTTCCATGATTCTAAAGGCATTTATTTATTTATTTAATAGAAATAGAGATGGCACTAATTCTGAAGACATTTATGTACTTCTATTATGAAAGATTGTAGTATTAAAGAATTTTCACCATAATTCCTAAAAGTGGAATTGTGCAAATGACGAATTCAAGAACATACCGTATTTGGGTGGATTTTGTATCGTCTCAGTGTAAACCGTGAAGAAGTCAAAATATGAGTACTTAAAACCTTTGAGCTGTTTCTGTAGCAATTGGAGCTTTTGGGAAAGCAACGGATTGTGTAATTTGACCAAAGCTGTGGCCTGTTCCAGGCACTCTCCATTTCCTCCAGCGGCCACATTGGCCAGCCTAAGCCTTGGGAAACAACCTAAAGGACCCAAAGTTAAAATCCCAATTTTTCTTCCACCTTCCCTGTGAATTTTCTGTCATTCAATTAACAATAGGATTAGATACATGGACATTGGACACAGTATGCCAAAGGCAGCACCCAGGGGAGGGGTGAGAAGAAAAACAAGAAAAGGGTAGAAAGTGGTCTCACCAGTTGTATTAATGTATTTTACTCCATATCAGGGTAAATTAGTAACTATATATTTTGTTACACTATCTCTCAGCTCAGTTACACCACATTCAAACTTTTGTGATACCATTTTCCAACTCAATTACATCAAAGGGCAAACTTGTAGGAAATAGAACTTGTGAGGCCCCATCCGCATATTTGAGACGGTTAGTGACAACCAAATTGGTATCTCAAGGCAAGAAACATAAACCCTCAACCACTGGTGTAAGAAATTTTAATTTTGGCAGTAGCAAGTACAAGTAAGTTTTAATTCCAATCATTACCATAGGTCAAGATAGATTCTAGACCGCTTATCATTTTTAGAGAAAATGGTACTATTAACTAAGCTAACATGTATTGGATAAGAAAATTTCAATATTAATTAGCAGTTGAAAGTAGGAAAGGATGTGAGGAATTATTTGTTTCTCTTTCTGTTTTTTTAAGTATAAGTGGGAGGTTTCGATAAGTGGGAGGTCTCGAAATCGGACCTCTCACTTACACTCCCGCCTCTCATACCATCCAACCCATCTCTCTCTGTAATAAGACAAAGGATGTGGAAAGGGATGGAAAGATTAAAAGAAAAGGTTTAACTGTAAAGATTTAACAAAGTTGAAAGAAAGAGAGAGAAAATCGGACTATTACCTTAAGCACTGATGTAATGTTGCCAACACCATTGCTACAAAATCTTGTGGCGCATGCGACTTAAACATACTGGGATTATTAATCAACGGGTTCAAGTAATCATTACTTCCAATGCTGATCAAGTACACAGCATTTTTCACCACTCGTCTTGCTGCTCTTTTACCTAGCTTCAACCTCAACTGTTTGTTAGCTTCCCTAAAGTTATTGAATTGCATATGAAGGCTGATCACCTGAGAAATGACATGAGATACTGACCTATTAGCAATTGGCAGTTACTAAAATGTAGGAATTAGTTACTCTTAGTCACAAGTTAATACCTACCGATCCCTTATTAGTTTCCACAAGAGCACCAGCACCGCAGATGCAAAGTTCACGCCCTTGGTCAAAACCTCATGATGCCGGTTTGCAGATATGGTGAAATTAAGGATAATTTTGCAAATTCAGCTGCAAAAAAGTCACTGTAGCTTTAAATGTTTTTTAAAAATTAATCTTATAAACACTAGAATTATTTTAATTTTTTTAGAGTAACGGGCATAGATGTATGACATGTTATATTTTGTTAAGCATCAATACTCTATATTTGCACGTAGATTAATTTGTAAATATATAAATTTTTGCAAGAAAGCGCTCTTACCTATAAAATCAGGGATAGTGCGGCCATTGGTAAACCTCCCGGTTGGGGATTTGAAATATGTTTCTCCATAAGGTGGGAAATTTGCCTGGAAAGTAGTGGTTGTCTTGATGTAGTTATTATTTCCAGGGTCAAAAAGTGAATCACCAAAGACAATGAGGGCAACAGGGGATTTTGGATGGAGGGCCAGGGGGTTTTGGATGGAGGGCAGGAAGGCAATTAGAGGGCAGTATAAGACTAGAAAGGAAGAATAATGCTACTAAGTGAAGTTGGATATGCAAATTTGCCATCTTTTAACACTTTGTATCTAATTTCTTTGGCAATCTTCCTGCCAGTGTCAACTACATATGTCGGCAAGTCCATTCATACTGAGGCAAACTGCTCTTTTGCCATGTTTTTTTTTTTTTTTTTTGTCGGAAATAGACAAATTCTTTAATGGACCCGGACGGTGTGGTCCTTGAAAAAGGCACGTCACATCTTTTTTAAAAAAAAGAAAAAAAGCACGTCACCCTTTTGGCTTGTTAAATAGGCACGCATGCTTTCACATGTCAGTTAACTAACCATGGATTAACCTATTACTATTAGAGAAGTTGGTCATCGAAAAAAAAATTAGAACTTTTCTTGGATATAGGTTAAGGGATCAAATCCTCTAATTTATATTTTTCTCTAAAATTTTTTGGACATTTTATCATTAGATGCACATGTATCCATTTGATTTGGTGACGATTCAGCCCCTCCAACCCTTCCCCGTAGTATAGAGTTTTGAAATTTCTCTTTGACCATTTTAAATTCACTTATTTTCTCAGTTAAGAAATCAAATCTTTTAGCTTACATTTTTCTCTAGAATTTTTTGGAGATTTAATCATCAGATGCACATGCATTCATTTGATTTGGTGGCAATTCAGCCCCTCCAACCCTTCCCCCTAATAGAGTCTTAGAATTTCCCCATGTCTCCCTCTTAGTGTAAAGTAAGAGAAGGTATATAATAGGAATTATTCATCGACAAAAGAAAAAAAAAAAAGTTAACTAACCATGGTTCACAAACGTCTGTAAGCTTGGAACTTACAGACGTCTGTGGGTGGCAACCGGGTTACTGGCAATGATACTATTATGGATTGAGTGATTGAAATGATGAATTTACAGACAGATCAGAAAGAATGGGAAATTGGGGAAGAATAAGAGAGAGAAATAAGAGAGAGAGAGAGAGAGAGAGAGAAAAGAGCATGAGAGAGAAGAGGGAAAAGAAATCAATTCTAGTTCATAACTGTCTGATTGTTACAGAGAGTGGGCCCATTTATTGTTGTAAACTAACTACCGTAACTAACTAAGCAAATGGCCAAAACGTTGCCGTTCCACTTAATAATTGCCCCAATCTCCTGAACAGTGCCGTTCCACTAACTAATTCCCCAATTCCTTAAATGGTGCCGTTTCTCTAATGTTTATTCCTATCTTCTATCCTGACAATCCTTCCCCTTGCGATTTGACTTGTCCTCAAGTCTGCAAAAATCTGGAAATTGTTGCTCTATGAAAGCTCTATCTTCCCAGGAAGCTTCATCAAAGCTGAGGTGATTCCATTTGATCAGTAGTTGTATAACAGGCTGTCCATCTCGTAAAATTGCCCTGCTCTTAAGAATCATTTCTGGCTTAAGGGGCATAGATCATGCTCATCCCATTCTGGTAATGTTGTAGACAATTGTTGTAGAGGTCCTACCTTCCTTTTAAGTAAGGATACATGAAATACCGGATGCACTCTGGCCCCTGCAGGGAGCTTCAGTCTATAAGCTACCTTCTCAATCCTTTCTTCAACCTGAAAAGGGCCATAATACTTAGCAGAAAGCTTCAAGCATTTCCTCACAGATACTGACTGTTGTCTATACGGTTCCAACTTTAAGAATATCCAGTCCCTACTGCAAATTCCCGCTCAGTCCTATGTTTATCAGCAAAATGTTTCATCCTACTTTGAGCTTTGGATAA